GGCTCCGTGCCGACAGCTCGGAGCCTGCAGCCTGCTTCGGGTTGTGTCTCCTTCTCTCTCTGCCCCTCCCCCACTCATACTGTCTCTCTCTCTCTCTCAAAAATAAATAAAATGTAAAAAGAAAAATTTCCAAGGAAAGACAGAAGTGGTGACTATCCATTCTAAATGAATGGATAAACTGGCCTATCCATACAATGGAATATTTGGCCGTAATAAGGAATGAGGCACTGACACACGCTACCACATGAATGAACCTTGAAAACAAGATGCTAAGTGAAAGAAGTCAGACACTAAAGGTCACATATTCTATGGTTCCATTGTGTGAAATGTTCAGAATAGGCAGTTCCAGAGAGACAGAAAGTAGATTGGTGGTTGCCTTAGCAAGGGAAAATGGGACGTGTCTGATAATGGGTGCAGGGTTTCTTTTGGGGTGATGAAAATGGTCTGGAAGGAGATAGCGGTGATGGTTGCACAACTTTGTGAATTGAGCGCATAGAGTACCCTTTTATTTTTATTTAATTTTTAAGCAGGCTCCGCGATCAGATCAAGGAGGGGCTTGAACTCACCACTGGGAGATGGAGAGTCACATGCTCCACCCACGGGCCAGCCAGGCCCCTCCCCCCCAGTACCCTTTAGAAAAGGGTGATACGATTCACCAATCACAAATTTTTTTAAGTGTAAAAAAATAATGTAATTTCAATCAGACTCCCAACAACATTGTGTTTTGGGGGAAAGGGGCAACAGGAAAACGATGGTGTTTAATCTGAAATTCTTTGGAAAAATACACCTGTCAGAATGGGCCATGAAATGTAGATGAAAATCGGTTTGCCCTAACAGATTAAAATTGAAATAGAATTACCCAATAAAAACACCATAGCAAAGGAACAAACGGATCAACGCAAAAGAACGAAGAAACGTAATAGCGTATATATAAAATTTCATACATGATAAACGTGGTGTTCGCATGGAAGGGGCATTTATTAAACGCTGAAGGGAAAATACTACGAGTTTGGCTTTCAAATTAACTTGTATTTTATTAATCCTACTGTAATGCCCAGAGTTCAAGAGACCCCAAAAAACGAACCACCAGAGTCCAGAGCCAAAGCCAAGCGGCAAGGGTCGTTTATTGCAGGTTCGAACCCGGTCCTCCGCGCACTCGTTGCGGTGACGCTAAGAGGCCCCGAGTGAGGTTTTTACAGCCCTT